AGAGAGAGAGAGAATTTTATTCAATTATCCTCGAGGATATTAAAGGAAGGAAAATATTGCGATAAACTTAATTTTTCTTAAAGAAATTTCTTAAAGAAACGACAATTCGAGTTGAAGTTGTTGTCGTTTTTTCGTAGCCAAAAAATCAGAAGTCAAAAGTGGGATTGGAATAGAATAAACGTTTAAGATTTTGTAGAGATAGACGGATGATGGATGATGGATAATTAAGGGGGATACAGAGCCGATAAGAGTCGTTGAAAGACGAAATTTCTGTGTTTAGCTAGGAATTTTTTTGTTGCCAGAATCGGGATCTCTCGATAACCGGTTAAAAATTCGATATTCTATATAAAAGTTTCCCGTTTTCTTCTGACAAGAAATTATGAACGCGAAACGAAATGGATAAATCACCAGCCGGAGGAGGCGAGATTCTTAGGAGGTGAAACCAACTAGTTGTAACCAAATTACGAAATGCTAAAAAAACTCGCCATATTTAATAATCCTTAAACACATTCAACATATTATTATTAATAACACTTTCGATTTTCGTAATTAAATTATATAACCTACCAGCTAGAATTCTCTCCAATCTTTAAAAAAAAAAAAAAAAAAAAATGTACTCGCTTTTACTCGCGTTCCGAGAGGAAGAGATTCAATTCTTGCAAAAATTAAACAAGAAATTTTAACCGCTTTTAAAAAATCCAACGTGTACCCACGCGTCTACCACTCGTTCACGTCTCTGTTTTCGCCAATATCAAAAGAGCGATTGCATAAAAGACGGAACACGGAGAGAAATACGAAGAAATAAACAGACACAAATCTAACTTCAAACCTAACCTAACTCTCCCCCAATAGGAGAGACAGAACAAGACAGAACATCTTATAGGCTTTCTCAACATCAGAATGTTGCACAAAAAAGGAACATAACGTTCCATTTAAGAAAATAAAGATAACCTCGAAACCGACGCTCGCAAAAAATGCTCGCATCGCGATATACCTGCCCCCCCCCGCCCTCCTCCTCTCCCCTCTCCTCTTCTATACACTTTCACATGCAATATTTTTCTCCTCGTATTACCAACGAACATACCAACAACAACAACAAGTTTTTCAGTGTCCACTCAGCATACATAGTAGAAGGGAAAACGCGAGTGAAATTAGTGAAGAGTGATTCTTAAGCGCGGTCCAACAGGAGGAGGAGGATCCACCTGCCCCCGTGCGCGGTTCACACAGGAGATAAGACAGCGAGGGAGCGGTGGTCGGTCGCGTTCACATTAGTCGCACCGTGGTGATTTACTGCGCGGCCAGTATGATTCAGTCAGCGGGGAATTTGACGAAGAATTAATGGTATTATGATATCGTGTGTAACTCTACGTATGCGCG